GAAGAGATACCTGTAACAATTGAAAACTGTCTTTCATGCATAAGAGAGTAAATTATGTCTAAGGCCTTATCATTGTTTCCAGCGTTAGTTATCTCTGTTTGAGAGCACTCAGTCTCAGGTTTAGCTACTTCTGTCCCGTCAGTGCTAGTACTGGGTTTGGTGGGATGAGTCTAACCTGACACCACAGACCGCCACACTGCTTCACCTTGAGCTTTTAGGTGTGTACGAGTGCGAGCCTTCCAATAAGCATAGTTGTCGCCAGTCAGCTGGGGAAGAATTTTAGCTCGATCCATTCTGTAACACTTAACAACCCGTGAGACCGAACAATTAAGCAAGAAGCAGATAATTAATAAAAACCGCTGAAGACTAGTATTCAAGAGACACAAAATCGCCAGATTGATAGACTAATAAATTAAGTCTACAGGCTCTGATACCAATTGAAAATGTGCCGTGAATCTTGAATTCAGTTACACCTTTAATGTTCTACTTGTTTTTAGAAGAGATATTGCATTATCAATTAATTAGGTTATTTAATGAACATAAATAACAAAATATAAAGCATTAAAATAAAACATGTACTCAGAGATTGATCACGCAGTTCGGAGCGCTTCTCCTACGTCTGCGGGGCAACTCACGTCTGCCCAATCCACTATAGATGTTTACCAAAGAGTATTACAAGAGGTAAGTACAAATGGCCCTCAGCCTTTACCACTACAACCCTTCCTAACACGTATTCAGGACTGAACCGTGCATGCCATAGCAATCTTCAAGAGATCTACGCTGAAGCACCAGCTGAGTCTGATGCAGTATGGACGTAGCAGCACTTCTCAACAGATTAACATAGATATTGCATGTGAATTCTTTCCTTAATCAATATAGAAAGCCGTGTATTTGAAATTTTTGTCTTAATAAATTAGCATGGGAATTCGTGAATCACAATAAGGAAAGTGCTTTCCTTTTTATAGTATTTTCCTCTTCAACATCCTTCACCCAAACCAGAAGCTGTCGACATGTTTTGGAAAATACCACAACCACATAATTTGAATAATTCCTTAATAATAGCTTCAACTCATTTGATTTTCACTCCTGTAAATTTCCATGTTGAATAATTCCTAATAATAACTCCGACTCATTTGATTTCCATTCCTGTAACTTTGCATGTTAAATCTGTTCCACATAATTTGAGACAGTCCAAGGCTTAATAAATAAAGTCTTGATAGGAGTTGGTCCATGTGTTACACCTAAATAAATTCTAATTATTCTTGTCAAATAAATTTAGCCAACATATAATAGGGTTTTAATGTGTATTAATTTATACACTTACACCCACAAATGCAAAGATGGATAAAATATTTCTTCCAAACCCAAGGGTATAAGGATAGGGGTTTCGTGGTTGCGGGTAAGGAATATGCTCCTGCATATATCATCCTATTGTCGTCTCCAAGTGAAATGCCCAAATTCTTACTAATTGGTTAGCTTTAAGCTTTTGATCGAAAAAAGGTTATCTATAATTCTTACGTGTAAGATTGATATTTCATTACGGTGAGACCTAACATCTCAAGCTTTTTCTTTGTTTGCCCATTCTCTTTCTTATATGTCAATTGTCACTTATATGGCTCTGGATAAAAAACTGTAATACTTCTTAGATCTACTCATATAGACTTTATTTGAATTATTTAAACTATTGTATGATTTAAAATTATCTTATTATTAATTAAGAAAGTGTGTCTAAATTGGCATACCTAATCCAATACATACCAAAAGCTTTTAATTTAGTAAGGTGAGACCTGAGAAGTCGTGTAATTAACTTGTAGACCGTTGGATGAGAAGTGATTGCACAAATTATTTGCAGCAATAAATCAAATTATAGAAATGGACATCAAAGTATCAAACAACAAAAAGAAGAAAAAACAACAAAAAGAAGAAAAAAGGGGAAAAATATGACTTTTATTGCAACGACGATGACACTCTTTCCTCCACCTTAGTTGACTTGTGCACGTAACTTGTTTAGGAAATTTGTAAATACTCCATTAATTCCATTTTATGTGTCTTACTTACTATTCATTGGTCAAATCAATTCTTTATTCTTTTCTTATTTCTATTAGCATTTTTTTTATGATTTTCAAATTTAATTTTTTGTGTTCAATAGTATTTTTAATATAGTTTCTAAATATATAGTAAATTTTAGAGTACGTTAATTCCACCGAGGTCTCTTGTCTTTGGTGTCAATTCCAAATTTAGTCCTAGGGTATCGTTTTTGCCATTTAACATCCCAGACTATTATTTTTGGGACACTTTTAGTCCTTCTCATGACTTTTCCTATTTTTAGTAAGGACATTTTTGTCTTTTCATATTTTTATTTTGTTATTTTTCGGTTTGAACCGATTTAATTGGTTTAGAACTTTAGATAACCTCTGATTTTTAGTAACCATATTTTTCAATCGGTGTTTAGTAAAGTCTTAAACCAATTAAACCGGTTGAAACCGAAAAAGTAACAAAAGAAAATTATAAAGAGACAAAAACGCCCTTACTAAAAATAGGATAAGCCATGAAAAGGACTAAAAGTGTTCAAAAATAATAGTCTGCAATAATGGCAAAAACGATAGCATGAGACTAAATTTGGAATTGTCACCAAAGACAATGGACACCTCTGGTTGAATTAAGTCTTAATTTTATATACTAATTCTAAATTTAATTTTTTGAAAAATTAACCGAACCCGACACATAAAATGGACGGAGGGAGTAACACTCCTACCCAACTTATACATGCTTGTTTTATGAAATAAGGTTGGAAAAACCCATTAAATAATCCTACGGAAAAGGATTATTATTTTATGGAAAAATTGGGAAGGACGAATGGTTATGGTGGGTACGGTGTAGGTGGTTAGCACGAGTCGTGCGAATCACTCTTTCTTTAAAACCCTATTTGCTACCTCTCAAAAATGCTAGGAGCATTGTAGCCTAGGGCTCTCAGGATAAAACGTACTACGATTCAGTGTTTGAGCATCCAATCAAAGAACCCAACGAACAAGAGCAATCCAAAAACACAGTAGGCTAGAAAGGAGTAGAAGCAGAATTTTGAGAGAAAAATAGGGGTTGAGGAGTTCAATAGCAATCATTACATGGCATTTAAATTGATATAAAACTAGTTTGTAACATCTAAAAAGAGTAGTCAAGGCTTTTCAGGCTCATTTTGGGATAAGCGCACAAAAGAAAACATTTATACTATACAATTCAATAAGTTATAGAAAGGCTTTTGTATAAATAGTGGTGCAAACCCACTTCCCAAACCAATGTGTGACAAAAGCTACTTTTTCCCTTCATTTTTCGAACTCAAATGGGTCTACTTTGAGAATCAATTTCTTATTCACCCATTATCCGTTTTGAGTGTATAATATATCAATCTCTTCGTCTCACTACAAAGAACCCGAATCCACTTTGACCCGACCCAAATCGGAAGTGGACCCCACTAATAATTGTACCAGAAAATAGCGGTCAAAGTACATATGAGATCCATGTACTATAGTGTTCTGTTCAATTTAGTCCTTCTACTTTAATTTTGTTCACATTAGTCCCTATACTTTAAAAATTGAAATAATTAAGGACAATAGCTGATGTGGCAAATAGTTATGTATTTATTTTGGACATAGTAATGTAATATATTGGTTGTAAAAATAATTAATTTCAAATATTTATAAAATAATATATGAGTTAACATGTAAGTATGATGACGTGGCAGAGATAATGTCAGCGCTATATAAGCTATTATCCTTAATTGTTTCACTTTTTAAAGTACAGAGACTAAATTGAACAAAATTAAGGTAGAAAGACTAAATTGAACAAAACACTATAGTACAAGGACCTCATAGGTATTTTGACCCAAAATAGCCACTTATTATTCCATTATAAGCTATTTTTTCCAACACTTTTAACTATTTTTTCCTTTGATTTATGGAAAACTCCTTTATCTCTTGGGTAACTGGCGCTAATAGACAATTTTCATGGAAGTCAAACTTAAAATATTGTGATTATTAAGTCAACTATTCGGCCGATGAAGTTCTATATATATATATATATATATATATATATATATATATATATATATTTAAATATATTGGGATGGCAAGGAGGGTGTTCCTTGTCCACTTTAGGGCGAAGAATTAAATTTTCTGTTGATTCTGTGGGATAGTTGCCCGTCATAATCTCACTAATTATTGTTATAAATAAAAGAAAGATCAACGTGCTATCTAAAATTATATGTTTTTTGACGATTTATTTATTTAAAATAAGAGTTTTACTACACAAACTCTCAATTTATACTCTATCACTTTTATTCTTTATTGTGACAAGTAATGACAAGATATAAAGGATAAAATTTTTATCCTACAATTACCACTAATTTTTTTTTTAATGGAAAACTCTTTATTGTCACGTACTACTAGTGAATTGGTTGAATATATCCAATAAAAATGTGACACGTTAATAAGTAGTTAATAGTGAGTGGCTTATGTAAGCTAAGGGTGCCTATCATGGTCATATTTTAAAAAGGAATAAGGTGCAAATAAGTCATTGAAGTAGTCATAAAAATACAATTGGACCACTAAACTAAAAAAAGTTGCAAGTAAGTCATCGAACAGCTTAAAATAATGCAATTCTGCCAAATAACAGGTTACTTTGCCATGTCACCGGTTACTTTGCTTAGGTGACACTAGTTTAAATTATTTTATTATAAAAACTAAAAAAAAAAAAAGAAAAAAAAAAGAAGAAGAAGAAGAAGAGGCAGCCACACAGGCTACCTTCTACCGGAGAAGTCTGCATCCAAACAAAGACCGACGGTCTCCAGATCCATGGAGACGAAGAAGCATCTCCGTCTCCACGGATCTGGAGATGAAGACAGAGACCGCCGGTCTCCAGATCCATGGAGACGAAGAAGCATCTTCGTTCCCAACTCCCCATGGATTTGGAGATGAAGATCAATGGAGACTGGGTTGATTATTTGGCTTTGAATTTGGTGTCGATCCCAACTTGGATCTTGAACTTGCCTTGGCACTTCGAGTTTTAATGGAAGAAGAAAGAGCAAGACAAGAAGCAGCTGCGAAGATGGCTGCTGAAGAAATTGCAGAACAAGAGAAAGGAGAAAACCAGCCAACTATCCAAGATGTTGGCATGACAAAAAATGTTGCTGTTGGAATATTTGAATCTGAAAGCAAGGCTTCTGATCTAATGGTTGGGATCCTTCAATAACTATTATAAGAAAAGCTGGACAAAAACTAAAAGGACTAGTTTCAATTTTCAGAAGTGAGTTACTGATTTTAATGAACACCCAAGCTTTCTTGAATACATTTTAGGATGATAAAAATGCCTTGTTGGAGCAGGCACTAACTATGTCTATGGATTCTACTTCTAACTATACCACACGAGACATTAAAATGCTTGAAGCAGCTTCAGATGAAGAATTGGCAATTGGTGAGTGATTTCAGTGTAGATGGATCCATGGATCTGGATATGGAGAACCGGTTGAAGGCAGCCTGCGTGTTTGATTTTATTTATTTATTTATTTATGTTTTTTATAATAAAATAATTTAAATTAGTGTCACGTAAGTGTGATTGTTATTAATAATGTTTATTATTATTATTATTGTATAACCTATGGTAGTTAATATGTGGTGCTAGAATTAGTCTGAAGTTGTATCCTATTAGATAGGAGTGTTTAGAGGTAGTCTTTGATATACTCTTGTGTAATCCTATCTATCGTAACTGCAATACAGTTTGGATTCTCATCTGGTATCAGCCTAACCGATTCGTTTCTTTTTTCTCTCCTCCAAAAACAAACCTCCTCCGAAAACGAACCACCACCAATCGCCGATGTCGTCCAACTCGTCGCAAAGAACCCCTCTTCCCGCCGATGGCTCTTCCTCGGCCGGTTCCAACCCGTTAGCCGGCGCACATCACTTCATATCCATGAAGTTCACGTCGCGAAATTTCCTGTTCTGGAACACGCAAATCACCCCGTTCTTGCGGGGACAGGACTTGGAAGGCTTCATCGACGGTAGTCATCCCTGTCCGCCGGCGACTCTCAGCACCACCGACGGTGACTCCGGCTTCGATGCGACGAAGGTAACATCGACCCCGAACCCGGCGTATAAACTCTGGGTCCGCCAGGATCAATCGATCCTCTCATTGTTGATCTCGGAATGTCGGATGAAGTTCTACACCTTGCAGATGGCCGGGCTACTGCCACCGAGGTGTGGCATTCGGTGTGCACGGTATTGGGCTCTACGACTCAGGCACGATGCCTAAATCTGCTTGGACAGTTCCAGGGTCTCTAGCAGGGCAATGCTATGCCAACAGAGTATCTCGGTCGGGCAGAACTCCTTGTCGAAGCCCTCGCGCAAGCCGGCCAGCCGCTCACCATGTCGGAACAAAACCTGTATGTTCTACGAGGATTGCGACCGGAATACCGGTCATATGCAACTGCTCTCACCGCCAACACTCCGGTGGTGACGGCGGCGGATGCAACCAGCGTAATGGTCGGGGCGGACACAATCAGCGTAGTGGCCGGGGCGGTGGTCGCGGCGTTCCGAGGTGTCAAATTTGCTGATCGCAGGGGCATACCGCGGTCTACTGTTACAAACGGTAGACGACGCAACCGCCGGCACAAGCCCACGTCGCAGTTTCCGGGGACTCATCGGCGTCAAGTGCACCACCGCCCGAGGCGTGGTATCCCGATACGGGTGCTATGGTGCACGCAACCCCGGATGTTGGCATGATGACCACCTCGGATGAATACAACGGCCCGGACGGTACAGGTTTAGTAATCTCTCCGGTTGGCCATGCATCGATTCCATCTGAGTCTAAACAATTGTTTCTGTCTAATGTGTTACATGTCCCTAATTTAACTGTCCCATTATTATCTGTCCAGAAATTTTCCACTGAAAATAGTGTATTCTTTGAATTTCACGATAACTGTTTCATTGTGAAGGATTCCAACACCAAGGCGGTAGGGATGGCAACGGGGCGGGGCAGGGGCGGGGAGTATACCCCGACCCCATCCTCATCCCCGTCTCCGTCCCCGACGGGGACTTGAAAAAATTCTCCATCCCCGTCCCCGCAGGGAATTTGGCGGGGACGGGGAATCCCCATCCCGGGTCAACTCATAGTCAAACTGTGAAACTAGTGGAAATAAAAAGAAAAAAAATTGAAATGACAATTAAAATTCAACTATTTTTAATAACATACGAGCTAGTGAAGTTCAAATTCCAATCCGAAAGAGCAAATATATACTAAAAATAGTTTAACATTCAAACATTATAATTATATTAACTTATTGTTGTTATACACACAGTAGTACAGTACACGTATTATTCCAATGTATACACATTCAAATATTCTATTTCCTAATCCTAAAATAATATTATATATATATATATATATATATATATATATATATATATATATATATATATATATATATATATGTATATATATTATTTATTTATTTATTTTTATTTTTGGGGACGGGGCAGGGCGGGGAGTGGTATCCCCGTCCCCGTCCCCATCCCCGCCGGGGAGTTTGTAAAATTCCCCATCCCCGTCCCCGATCCCCGAAATTTTTCCCCGTCCCCGTCCCCATCGCCTACGGGGGCGGGGATCCCCAACGGGGACGGGGCACATTGCCATCCCTATAAGGCGGTACTTCTTAAAGGTCCTACCTCTGGAGGTCTGTACAAGTTACATGTGTCCCAGAGTCATTTTGCGTTCGTCACTTCTCGTGCTACGCCAACAGTCTGGCATCGCAGGCTTGGTCATCCACACAGCGTTGTCCAGAATAAAATTCTTAAACAATGTTCCGTTCAGCAAAATAATGTTACTTTAGGGTCATGTACTACTTGTCATCTTGGCAAGTCTTGTCGTTTTTCATTAAATAGAGTTGTGCAATCTAGCGAAAATGTACTAGATTTAGTCTACACGGATATTTGGGGGCCTGCCCCAGTTATCTTGTCTAGTGGTTTTCGTTTTTTTTTTTTGCTGTTTGTTGATGATTATTCTCGCTTCTGCTGGTTTTATCCATTAAGGGTAAAATCAGACATCTATAAAATGTTTGATGTGTTTCGTGTGTTGGTAGAGCGACAGTTTTCGCGCTCTATCAAATCTATTCAATCTGACCTAGAGGGTGAGTATCGCAAATTGCATACCACCTTTGAAACTCTCGGTATTAATCACCGACAATCCTACGCCTATACGCACGAACAAAATGGGAGAGTTGAGCGCCGAAACAGACATATTGTAAAAATGGGCTTAGTTCTTCTTGCTCAAGGGTCTGTCCCACAACAATATTGGGACTTTAATTTGCTTTTGAGACTGCCACATGCCTAATCAATTACCTACCATCCTCCGCTCTAAAAGTCGAAAGTCCCTACTACCGACTATACAAAAAGCTACCTCCATATCAATTCTTAAAAGTCTTCAGGTGTCAATGTTACCCGTATCTAAGACCGTACAATCGAAATAAAATCGAGTTTCGTTCCACTCCATGTGTCTTCTTAGGTTACCCACCGTCCTTTAGGGGATATAGGTGCATGGATCTAATTAGTGGAAAAACTTATACCTGTTGCCATGTTCGGTTTGACAAATCCGTCTTTCCCTTTGCAACAGGTTCTCTACCACAAGCTGATGAGCCACAGTCCGTGCCTTGGGCTTCTGGACTCATAGTACCAGTTCAGGCTACTGGGTACAATCCGGCTCCTGTCACTCTGAGTCCTGACCCTGAGTCGTTAGCTCATGAGTCACCTCCTTTAGCCATTGAGCCAGCTGCCCCTGCGGCTCATGGATGAGGTCGGGGTCGAGAATAACCTCAGGACCAGGGACATGTCATGTGACTTCGACACATGAATCACGGTAATCATGAGGAATTTAAAGCACTCACTACAACAACACCGGATCCAACATGCTATTCTCAAGCTGTTGGACATCCCCACTGGAGGGATGCTATGGACCAGGAATTCAACACGCTCCTTCACAATAATACCTGGCGTCTAGTTCCACCAGATCCTAACATGAATATTATTGGATGCAAGTGGGTTTTTCGCACCAAGCGTACCGCGGATGGGTCTGTAGAGCGGCATAAAGCATGACTGGTAGCAAAGGGGTTTAACCAGGTTGTAGGTGAAGACTTCTTTGACACTTACAGTCCGGTCGTCAAGCCAACCACAGTACATATGCTATTTTCCTTAGCCGTCACAAACAAATGGGTCCTCCGTCAACTAGATGTTTTTAATGCCTTCCTAAATGACCACCAAGCTGAAACTGTGTATATGAAGCAACCACCGGGCTACGAAGATCCTACTCATCCGGAACAAGTCTGCCACTTGCAGAGGTCTCTCTATGGTTTAAAGCAAGCTCCCCGCGCGTGGTTCAAATGGCTTCACGACTTCTTGATGTCTGCAGGGTTTTCTTCGTCAAAAACAGATGTCTCCCTCTTCTACCTCACTTCAGAGGGGTCGCAGGTTTTCCTCCTTGTCTATGTCGATGACATCATTATGATGAGCAACAACACCACCTTGCTTGACACTCTACTTTGTCGTCTTGCAACTGTGTTTAAAATTCGGGATCTTGGCAAACCTGGCTTCTTCTTAGGGATTGAAACTGTTGACACTACTAGAGGAATGATTCTGTCCCAACGGCGCTACATGACCGATTTGTTGACTAGGGCTGGGATGGCGGACTGTAAACCCCTGGCTACGCCTGCATCGGTCACTCAATCGGCAACTCCGTCTGATGAACTTTTTGATAATCCGACACAGTATCGACGTATTGTTGGGGCTTTGTAGTACCTCACTATTACACGGCCCGATTTATCCTTTTCTATTAATCGTCTGTGTTAGTTTATGCATGCTCCAACTAATGATCGCTGGGTTATGGTTAAGTGGGTTCTACGGTATACAAGGTTGCAGTAGGCGCTAAGCGCTAGTCGGGCGGCCGGGCAGCGCCTAGCGCCTAGGCGAGCTAGGCGAGGCCTAGGCGGAATCTAGGCGGCGCTAGGCGGGCTCTAAAAAAAAAATTAAAAAACAGTAGCAGACTTGCAGTTTGACAAATTTAATGAAGTTGTTTTCAATATTCAATCAAATAGCACGTCCAAATAATAAAACTATCAATCTATCATGCATTCCTTCAAACAACTAAACAAGTCAAATACTCAATTACTCAAACAACAATACCACATTTAATCATCCAACTAATGAAACAAGTGAAACAACATCCAAGTATCAATGTTTAAAGTTTAAACTTACAAGTTACAACATAACTAACATTCAACAAAAATTCAACATTCAAGTCCAAATTTTAAAGTTTTGAAATCCAAAGTGATTCATGAATCATGATTGAATAGGATCATTGCCAATTTCTTCATCTTGTCCATATTGCTCAATAACACGTTGCCCATCATTTTCAAACTCCACTTCATTTATTTCCTCCTCACTTTCCCCTTCCGATTCAAAGTTATCTTCATCAAGATCCCTCAATCTAGCACT